TTCCCTAAAAGGAAAATCTAAAATGCTATGAACGTAATGCAATTCTGCGAGAAAAGTTGCATTGATATGACAAACTGAAATTTGTCTACAATATATCGTGCGACACTGGCGCCCACCATGAAGAACAAGCATGCCAACGCAAGCAAAATGCAAGGAAAAAATTTACGATTATTGTATTGTAACTCAAAATGGATCACGCGATGAATGGTTTAAAAATAACGCAAAAATCTTCAGAACAGTTTTGCAAGTTTACGGTATACGAACTGGATGACTCTGAATAAAAATGTTTGAAAAGCAATATACATTTGATTTTTCAAGCTGAATAATAAAACAAAAGAAGCCAGAATAATCGGTCACGACAAATTAGAGACAGAAAAGTGAAATATTAAAATAATGGCATCATAAAGTTAGATTATCCTTACCTTCGAATCCGGTTATAAAGTGCATATTTGAAAACTTCTGAAGGTAAGAATTTTTGCATTGTTATATTAAAATGGATAAGATAAAAATGCTTATTAAAAGGTGCGGAGCTTGCAGATCATCAATAATTAATATTGCAAAACAAATTAGATGACGATATAAAAATAGTGAAACTCAAAATTTACTAGAAGATTCTTTAGCATTATTAATTGAAAAAGAAAAAGAACTGTATAATTTAGATGAAGAAATTATATTTTTAATTGATGATGAAAAGAAACTTGAAACGAAAATTGAATTCTATGAATTATAAAGATAAAATAATTTTATGTAAATCTAGAATAAGTAGATATTTAAAATCTAGTCTGGAACAACATAAAAATACTCGGATATTAGGTCAACTGAATATAAGAGGGAAAATCATCATGTTCGTCTTTCTAAATTACAGATTTTTAAATTTTATGGTAACGTCAGTTAATGGATTAGTTTTTGGAATTCACTCAAAATTGCGATACGATAATATTGCGCTTTCGAAAGTCGAAAAATTTAATTACTTGAAATACTTAAATGGAACTGCCGCCAATGCTATAGAAGGTTTTTCAGTATCTGAAGGAAAATACGATGCGGCAATACAAATTTTAAATACTAGATTTGAAAAACGCGATGTTATCATAAATGCACATATGCAAAAATTCCTAAATCTCCCTCCCGTTTATCGATCAAGCAACGTTTTAAAATTAAGAAAATTATGCAACACTATAGAAATACAGGTTCGAAGTCTTTTATATTTAAATGTTAATCCCAAAACTTATAAAACTATGTTGAATTCAGTTTTATTTAGAATAATTCCAGCAAATGTAGGATTAGAATACAGTCGTATGAATGATGATGAGACATGTTTCGATGTAAATAAATGTCTAGAATTTCTCAGAAAAGAATTACAAATTCGAGAGAGAGCAAATGCATTTAATACAGAAGGTAAGAATGGTTGTACATAATCAAAAGTTTAACCCTCAACAAGCCATTACCAGCAGATGCAGATAATCATCAGTAGCGGCGCGAATATAAACAATTGACTATACTGTATCGTTAACTGTAAGCCTTACACTGCATCGTTAAATAAAAAGACAGGACGGGTATTACAAATGCTTCGGCAAGAGGTATATGGATAAAGATTGTAGAATGCAGATTTGTTGTAAATTATGAAGTAAACCTCATTATACGTCTTTATGTAATTCTGAAAAGAAAAATTTGGAAATCGATAAACAATGTAGTAAAACCGAAAATCATTTACTTAACAGCAAATATATCAAATGATGCTTTAATGAGTTTGAAGAATAGGTCTAATAAAATTAATAGCCATTTTGATTCTTTAATTACGGTACAAGTAGAATGTGATAAATAAGTGTTAAATGCTGTCTTTGATACTACCACTCAGATTAGTATTATATAAAGAGTACTGTTGTACCAGAGTATTGTAAAAGACCATGTGGAAGTGTAATGTTAAAATTTGCATTTGGACAGAAGGTTAATGCACCTTTAATAAATGTAAATTTAGTGATGAGTTCACAACCAAATTGGATGATAATGAGAAATGTTTTAGAGATTTTAATTTAGAAGTATAAAGAAAAATATAAAAATTATGAGATTCCAACTTAGAACAAACAGATATTGCAACACTAAGTGATGATGGAAAAGGTATGCAAAAGAAGAATTGTTTGAACATAAGTATAATTTCCGATTTGAAGAACCAGATTCAAGCTTTATTAAACGATATCCAAGAAAAATTGGAGATTCTCTCAGACGTGTTGATGATAAAAGAAAGAATAAGGAAGAGCATAAAATAGAACTAAAACGCTTGAAAGCTTTAAAGCGAAAAGAACTTGAAGAAAACTTTTAAGTTAAAGAAATGCCTGGCCAAGATGAAATGAACCTTAATGAAGATGATATTGAAAGTGATTTTGATCCTGAAAAACATGATCAGAAAACGAAAGAGCATTTTGATTATAATTATTATGCTATTCAAGAAGAAGAAGAATGTCCGAAATTTCCATATGATGAGGAACTCAATAATGAAGATTGGAACCATTGGATTAGACCAAGTAAAAGTGACGAGTGCTGTGAAGAACAGTTTGAAGAAAATGCTTCTGAAACATCAAGTGTTGAGATTACAAATTCCAAAAGCTTTTTCTAAATCGGAGTTTGAAAAAGATATAATTGAGTCATCTCACACAGGAAGAATAAAGGTTAGAAAGAAATCCTTATTTAATAAAGTAATTTCTAAACCTAAATCAGTTTTTGATCCAGATGGCAAAACATTTGATGAGTATTTGGATGAGTACTATAGATTATATTCTGAAGATATAATTAGTGATACGCCAGTCAAATTCAAATACAAGAAAGATGGTGCCAAATGACTTTAGACTGACTGTTGAGGAGACTATTGCAGCTGATGACAGGGAATTAAATCTTGTTTTAAATACTTATGTTTGTATTCACATACGATTAATGTTTCTTTAGATATTTTTTCTTTAATCGATTTCAAGTAAAGTAGTTTTTTTTAACATCGTTTGAGTATCCACTTGAAAGGGGAGGTGTGAGGCACTGACGCCCTCTATAAAGAACAAGGTCGCCAAAGCCAGGAAAATGCAAAAAAAAAAAAAAAGATTACAATTATTGCAATTGTAATTCAAGATGGATCACGCGCTGAATGGTTTAAAAAAAACGCAAAAATCTTTAGAACAGTTTCTAAGTTGCATGAACAATATAGTTATACAGGATGACTCAGAATAAAAACGTTTAAAAAGTAGTAGTTTATTTGATGTTTAACATCGAATAATAAAAGAAAAGAGCCCACAATCATCGGTCAAGACAATGTTATTTACATTATGCGTGCTACATTATGTTATTAACATTATGCATGGTACATTAGGTTATTAACATTATGTGTGATGATTTATGTTATTTACATTGTGCATATAATAAATAGGTACTATTCGATTTTGAAGGTCGTAAAGAATCGCCAAACAATTATTGATGCCAGTGCTGCCAAAAATAATTGCGGCAACCTTAACGCAAGAAAGGAAGTATAATAGTAAATAACTATAATTTATATAAAAAGGCTAAACATGACTGAATGGAAGCATAAGAGTAAATAACTATTTCAGATCATTATCATAATTTATATAAAAATTGGGTACTTTTCCGTTTTGCCGGCGCAAGCGATAAAGTCGCCAATAATGGTACAACCGATGCCAAACGCAATATTCTCGCTGGTAACCTTTTACGCCTCATTTTCAAAACAAGTCGCAGCTTTTTCTTATCAGATTGATTGTTTCTTTCAATACTGGCATATAATTACATAGAATTTTTATCAGATATATATCAGTTTTATGTCTAAGGCCTTTCGGTATTAAGTCAATTAGGATGCAATCACAGCTCTTACCCGAAGCCGAAAATATAGAAAAGGAAAGTCAAGGGTTAAATTCATCATTTCTAATGAGAATGCATTAGTGAAGTAAAGCCCTGCAGTTTTACATAATTTCTGAGTAAGCTATCGTACGCATTGAATATTTTCTTGCATTTAAACTTGTGTTCCAAATTAAGATTTAACTTGAAATTAATGTAGATATTACTGAGAGCATTAGATTTTGTAGAGTAGTTTTACGTGAGATGAGATCGCTGGGGTCACGTGATATGAACCGGAGTATTAGGATGTTGAACCATGAAAGCATAGTAAATTCTTAATTAATGTCTTTTTTTTTACAAATTTATTGTCTTTATTTATTGGCTTTTCATAAGTTTTTAAGCGATATTAAAATGTTTATGCCTTCAAAAAAGAATTCTAGAACTAAAATTTTTTTATATTTTTTATGTGTATCTGTATGTTGTCGCCAATAAAGTCTGCTTGGCGAGATTTGCGCCGGCGAAACGGAAAAGTACCAAAAATTGCTAAACATAACTGAATGGATGCCTGCATCGCTATTTCGCTACCGAGTTATCGCTAAAGCATAATTTCATCTCGTTGGTTGTTCAAACATAATTTTAATGAATGATGCCTTTGCTATGAAAAAAATTCTCGGTAAAGTGCAGAATCGCCCACTTATTTTTTGCCACTTTTTACAAGAGTAAAAACAGTTGGATTTTTATCAATTTTCTTTTACTTTTTAAGTGAAAATAGGTCGATGTGTACATAGATAAAGTCAAGGGTGTGCGCAGTGCCATTTTGTGCAATTCTGGGATTTTTTTTTTTTTTTTTTTACGTGAAAATAGGTCGATGTGTACATGGATACCGAGTATGTGCAGTTCTTAAAAACGCGTGAAGCAGTGGGTGATTCTGCACTTTACTCAAATAATAATAATAGGATGCAAATTCTTTTAAAACTAAGTATTAGGAGCAAATATCACACAATTATAAACAAAACGTTTCTTCAAATTATACGTAATGCTTACTGAGCTGGAAAGTTCCTTTGTGACAAATGCAGTGAATAAGAACTGACTATTTTGTAAGTGATTTCCTAAAATGTTGGCATTAAATAAAAGAAATAAAATTATTATATAATATAAATAAAATAACAAAATACCTGTCTTGAATCCTCGGCAGATGTCCTCCATGGTGGACGTCTTTCACATCTGTTAACTATGTGGAGGAACATAAAAGAAAAATGGCCATCACAAGAATAAACTTGTCGCAGTACTTCTGCTACTATGTTAGAGTCCTCAATCCAATAGAGGAAACACAGCTTAGCCAAGCTATATGTTATGAGATGTTGCAGACCAAGAATATCAGTTAAATTGCTGCCTTGACAGACAAGAGATTTCCATCTGGTGAAATAGGACATGATTTCTATCATTATTTGTGGTCCTCTATTTTTGTTGAATAAGCTTTCTTCGTCCTCTGGGTCCCAATGAAGGATCCGACGCAATCGGTTGAGAACAGCAGAAATATAAACTTTGTCTTCTTCTGAAAATTCTGCATCATAACTGCGGCCTAATATATCTTCAAACGTTTCATCCGAGTCTAATATAGACATTAAGGAAGCAATATCATTTTAGATCTGCAGAGGTCTAAAATGATAATTACTACCTTTAGGATTTTAATTTTTAATTTAATTTAATTTAATTTTTAATATTATGTTACAAAAAATTTTTTATATAACAAAGGTAGCACTTGACACTCAACTTTACCAGAAGCGCCATCTATATAATTGGAAACACACTTACTTCTCTTTAACAACACTTTGCGACCCCAACACTCATATAGTAGGTAAGTTAGAATTAAATACTATTTACTTGCTTTAAGTATTTTTTAATTTTTATGTGTATCTAGTATTTTCTAAATATGAAATTATATTTTAAATATATATTTTTTTAAAATTGTAAATTAGTTCTTTTTGTTTCTTATTGTTTATATGGATTATGTCTAGTTCTCTTTTACTTTCTTTTTATTGATATGCATATTCGTGTAGGGAAGTTTCTGTAGACAAGGGTTTCTAAATACTTAGTTTCTAGATTTTTTATTATTTTTATAGAAAATTATTTTTTAAAAAATTTATTTTTGTGAAAAAAAAGTTTAATTCTTGACTTTACTTGCTGTTTCTCAAAAGACTTCATTAGTATTTCCTTTTTGAACTTTATTCTTAAATGTTAATTCTTAAATGTTCTTTCTAGGGTACCACTTTATTGGAATTACTTTTGGTTTTGACTTTTACTCTTGCCTGCGTGAATGACGAAACACGAATTGAATGATTGGAGATTTAGGTTTGGAGGCAACTTCCCCTTAATAAGTCTGTCTCCTGCCTACTCAACGGTCATTCACATATGCATTTTTAAAAAAAAATGTTTAATTTAATTTTAATTTTTTAATTAGTAAATTTATTTTCATGGATTGATTCTACACTTGATTTGCTTATGCTTCTGAATTTAAATGATATTGTAGATTAGTTCGAGAATTAAATCTTTTATATGTTTGCACATTTTTTAAAAAAATTATTTTGGCTTTTTTCTTTTTTTAGGATTTAAATTTGCTTTTTTACTTTTATACGTATTTGTTAAAAATTGAGTTTAAATTTGTTTAAATTTACATTTTACCATATATACATTGAGCTTTCTAACAGTGGGAAAACTTGTATTGTTTCTAATATCTGAGCCATCTTTTTTCATACATTACATTTTAATAAATTAAATGAATTAAGCAAAATTTTAGCTTAAACTTATAAAAATTTAGATTACTAATGCTTAGTCTTTTCAATTTATTAATTTTACATGTGCATATCTACCTCAAACTTTAATATATTTTTTACGAAAAAATTTCACCGGTTCAAACAAAAAACTCAAAATAAAGATGCAATATACCCTACTAATGAAACAAAAAAAAGGGCATGTACTTCTTGCAACTATCGTGCCTGATTCCACAAAATTTATTTGGAATCCAAAGTGTTGACAGACTAGACATGCACCTTCTATAAGCTATACTATGCTATAGTTATTACTATAGCTATGGTTTGACTTCCATTCATCTTCGAATACCGTAAGATGTTTCTTTAATGAAGCCATTTACAAGACCAGCTGCGACACCTCCTCATTCAGATAACAAAGTGCATATTTGATATGTGTTTAACCAGTAGAATAAAATTATAAAATTTCCCATTTATAATTTCAGTAGATACGCATCGTCTACTAACGTCTTTATTATGATTCTACATCCTGGATATTACTTTCATTCTTTTGCATTCCCTAGTCTCTTATATGCAAATTAACACAGACCAAACTCTAAAGGTACGGTTTCAAATTAACAATAATAAACTTTGCAGTACCAGTAGAAAGAAGCATAGAAGTGCATTCCTATTGTGCCTTCTCTTTAAGTGCCTTTTTAAACTTTACTGCGCTCTAAATGTTAATACTGCCACTGACAAGACAGGTTGCGACAATTTTATAATACTTGGCATGGCAATAGTAATTATTTTCTATTTTATAATAAACGACATAAATTTTATATTGTCTAGAAGCTGTAAATATTTTCTTGTGTTATTAAATGATAATTATAAACTCTTGAAAGCCATTTTCTCGGGACTGTTTCGTCGGAACTCTTATAGCTTATATCACTTAGTCTATTTTGACGGATTACGAAGGTATTTTACCCTGTATTTTCCGCCCAACGTAACGAATATGCATATGGTCCGAAGCAATGAAAACGTTTGGAGTATGCTTTACTATGTATTGTGAAAAACATAATTATGTTACAACTGCAAGATATATTACTGTTAATTATTAAACAGTGCCGACGGCAATACATCTCACGTTTACCATGCGCTGGATTTCACACTGTATACCTCATACTGAGTATTCCCGATCGTTGACCTCAAAATTCGAACGGCATTCCATGTTTGATTTTCATATTTTAATTTGACCATATTGTTGCGTGCGTATGGGTTTCCGGTAGATTGAATGCACAGGTCAAATAATAGGTTAATAAAATTTATTTTATCAAAAGAAATATTTCAGGACTATGGACTTTTCTACAGAATTATTGACATGATATGTCACAATATCACACGGTACAATCAGTGATTATGTTTCAAACTACTACAAACGTTAAACACAATGCAATGCAAAGCGCATCTAAAGAAAAAGCTAACTTAGATATCTCAGTTCACTCGTAACTAACAACTCGCAGCAACAATAACTAAACGACTAAGAGCAGATGCTCTCTCTTCGCCATTAAATAGTTTTCAACTGGCCGCCGAGATATTTGTAGCAATTTCTGCTTCTCGAAAATTACTAGAAAGTAATACGAGAGTGGTTACAGCTAACGTAGTGATCAATTACATTTATTCAATTTCAATACATAGTACGGTGATACAGGGACCGGACCAAAATGCCGCAAAATGTTCACCAAATTTAGCGATTTTTGGCGAATTCTCGAAACATTTGACGACAAAATAAGTCGACAAAATCTTTCACTGCTTGTCAATATCTTGCCAAATTACCGAAAAACACATTTACTCAATGTTAAATGCGCTTGCTCCTGTATTCTTACCTTTCCAGCAGATCTTCTTTTCATGTCACAAAAGAAATACAATAATTTTACTTATAATTCTATCAAAATCATCTATATATGTACAAAATTCGTAATACTGCCCCTTTCCAAGGACTGCACTCCCCGGGCAGGACAACCCTTGGACAGGAAGGCATACTTACAAGCAAAGCAAATCAATGCAATCATTAAACAATAAATTCAGTAACTAACATAAAACACATTAGATGCTAATATAATAAATCAGTTCACAAATTTAGAAACCAATAGGACCAAGGTCTTATGCTATTTACATTATATGCATTACGTACTATCGTCATAGTAAGGAGCTACCCTGTCGTAATGAATGACTTTAGTCTTAGAATTCAGTGATCTACGAATCCGAAGATACGACGTCGTTCAGCCTGTTTGGGACGGTGTAAGGACCATTCCAAGGTGGCTGTGCTTTTGGAGAGAGTCCTTTCCGTCGAATCGGACTCCACAACCACACCTTGTCACGATCGTTGAAAATTTACTTCTGTAGTAATATTTACTCCTGTAGCTCTCGTGTCATAGCGAGTCTTCATCTTCTTCTCAGTCGCCAAGTTGACTCGTTCTGGTGCAAAATGGTGCATCATTTCAAACCTTGCCTGTAAATCTTGGATGTACTCCTCAGGGCATGAAGGCACATCCAGAGGGAGACCAAACAAGAGATTGCAAGACATACGAAGGTCACGACTGAAGAATATCTGGGATGAGGAATAGCCAATAGTCTAGTGGACAGCACTGTTATAAGCCAGTAGGAAAAAGAAGTAATTTCTTGTCCCAGTCATATCGGTTTCTGGAAACCACCAAAGGCCTTCCTACATTGTACCTTCCCTTAACTACGTTTCTTCCGTTCTTTACGACCAGCATGTGATATCTGGCGACTGTTTGGCGATCAACAGCGTGCTTGACGCAGGTAGCTCTTCTCCGAGAAGGGTTAATGTATTTATTGAGAGTTGCATGTTAGCCTCGGAAGAGGAAGGTAGTAGATTTACTATGCGGTAGGAGCGACGTACTGCTCTGAGTTATATTATGCTTTGAATTATATATTTAATAAATGTTTGTTTTCGTCTTGCTAAATGGTGCCTTATTAAACCCTTACGAAGTCATCACAACACGCTCTCTTACGAGAAAACCAGAGAGGTTAGAAGCTTAGAGCTTTGAAAACGGAAGAGGCGTAAAGTTAAGCCTAACTAACGAAAGAAGTGTTCATTTGCAAAAGGGAGTAGAAACATGAGAATTATTTAATCGCGAGTTCGAAAAGCTTGATTCTAAAGGAAAATAGAAGAAAATGTTCAAAACGCAAAGAAAGAGGATTTAGTAACAGTTCTATTGGAAATTGGCGAAGAAGCATCCCCAGATTTGAAGCTGGTAGAACTGAAACACAAACTCCAGAATAGCAAGGAATACATCGAAGATGCTGATTTCGTGAAAGAAATTCTGATTACTACAGTGGAGAATAGAAAAAGAAAAGAAGAAATGGAAAGAATGCAAATGGAAGAAAGAATTAAAACAGAAAGAGAACACGAAATAGAACTAGCGAAGATTCGAGCAACTCAAAATGAAGGAAGTAGAAGTCCAACACCTTTAATCCAAAACACAGAACGAGAAACCGAAATTTCCCTGGACAAGCTGATCAAAGGAGTAGAAACACTGACTATACCAGTACCGAAGAGAGCAGAAGCATGGAATATATTTTTCGATTCTATCGAAAGAGCATTTAAGCACAAGAAGGTTTCCGAAGAATACAAATCGGAAATATTATTGAAATTAATTGGAGAAAAAGCTTCAAATGTTCTTGTTTATATAAAGGAGGAAGATCTGCAAAATTACGAAAAGGTGAAAGCTCTTATTCTGAAGGAATACCAACCTACTCCTCAAATCTGTTTAGAAAACTTCAGAAGAACTAAACGTTGTTCCGGCGAAACGCCGGATAAATTATTCCAAGCTTTAGGTGAAAAAAACAGCTGCACACATCGCGATACG